TTTCACGCGTAAACAACACGTATTTAACGTGTTGTTTACGCGTGAAATACACGTGTTTAACGCGTTGTTGACGCGTTAAAATTCACGTGTTTTTGGTACTTTTGGCCTTCCATAATTGCAGTGACGCAAACGCTCCTCCTGTTCATGCAAAGGAAAAATGAACGCGTTTCCCATTCTATTAGACTACAGGCCACCTCTCAGCCCTCATTAACTCAAACTCTCAGTCAGCCCTCCTGATGTTAAGAAGAGTGTAATAATACACACTACAAGAACTAAAAATGTGGTCAAAGATGTTGTCAAAAGAATTTTACACAACATGTTTGCGGATACATTTTAAAGAGGTATGTTGTTTGACACTTGACACCTACAACTTGTGCTTTTACATCCAAGCTGCTTTAAAGGGATAGTTCACCCAAAAATGAACTCACTCACCCTCATGTCGTTTCAACCCCGTAAGACCTTAGTTCATCTTCGGAGCACAGATTAAGATATTTTTGATGGAATCTGAGAGCTGTTTTGACCCTGCATAGACAGCAACGCAACTGAAATGTTCCCAAGTCCAAAGACGTAGCAAGGAGATTGGTAAAATAATCCACGTGACATCAGTGGTTCATCCGCAATTATACGAAGCTACGAGAATACGTTTTGTGAGCAAAAAAAAAAAAAAAAACGACTTTATTCAACAATTCGTCTCCTGTTTACGTTGTTTACATCCAGCTGATATTCTCCAAAATGGCGCTACAGGGTGATGTGGAGAAGACGAATTGTCGAATAAAGTTGTTGTTTTTTTTCTTTTGCTCACAAAACGTATTCTCGTAGCTTCGTAAAATTATGGCTGAACCCCTGATGTCACATGGATTATTTTTGCTACACCTTGCTACGTCTCTGGACTTGGGAACATTTCAGTTGCGTTGCTGTCTATGCCGGGTCAGACAGCTCTCAGATTCCATCAAAAATATCTTAATTTGTGTTCCGAAGATGAACGAAGGTCTTACGGATTTGAAACGACACGAGGGTGAGTAATTAATGACAGAATTTTCATTTTTTGGGTGAACTAACCCTTTAATAAGAATCCTATATAACCTAATGCACATACACAATGCATGCGGCCTATAGGCTATGTTTGAGACAGTAACGATCTAATCTTATTTAAACCTGAAAATAAAGTATAGTGATTTAATGATTTAAAAAATGTTAAAGAAAAGTTGTGATACAATATATATATATATATATAAAGAAGCCCATTCTAAACACTAATAATTATTTTCAAACGTGGTCATTTGCAATAAAAAAAGCTATTATATAATAAATAGAATAATTTTTTTAATTATTTTAAAATAGAATAAATTTTCACTAGTGGTCTCTGACTTTTGGACCTCATTGTACAGCACATCAATAAACATGTTTACTACTTATTCATTGTACTATAAAAGCAATGGTATCTTTCTGATATAGTTCTTTTCATTTTCACAAGAGGCTACACAACTTTAAAGTGTGTTCCCAGGTGTTTAAACTGAACTGTAAACCATTAAAAATCATTAACAATGAGAGATTAAGCTCAGTTTTGCACCCAAGAATTATAGAAACTTTTCAATAACCAAATCTTTGGTATTAGCCACGTTTTCAGACAGCATGACTCATTATATCACTAATCCATTAGGGAAAACCTTCATTAATCATAATCGTCATACCAGATTTATGGCAGAAATGAGTTTAAGCTGCAAGATAAACAGCTTATATAACTTTACAGCTCATTAAGCTGACACACAAACAGAAACATCTTAAAGAAATAGTTTGGATGACAAAGAAAATTCTGTCATCCTTTACTGACCCTCATGTTTGACTCTCTTTTTCTGCAGAATACAAAAGACAATATTTTAAAGAATGTTTCAAATTTGGTCCATACAATGAAACAACACTAAAACAACACTGGACCCTATTAACTTCAACAGAAAAAAGAGGGTGAGTAAATGATGACATTTTCATTTTTAGGTGAACTGACTCAACAGCCCCTGCATGTAACGTGTAGACTTGTTCAGCAGTCCGTTAGCAAACCCAGTATTGTCCTACACATTCCCGCCTTTACATATTTCCTGCCTCCGGTCTTGTGGAGCAAGAAAGGAAGAATGAAAAAATGCTCATTCTTCCTGTGCTCTTCCTGTCAGTGTGTATATCTGAGTCTGTGTCTTATTCGGACAAATGCATTTAGACCTGTTTTACAAGATTTCAATTTTTTATGATTTTTTTTCCACATACACTCTTAAAAATAAAGGTGCTTCAAAAGGTTCTTCAAGCGATGCCATAGAAGAACCATTTTTGGTTCCACAAAGAACCATTCAGTCAAAGGTTCTTTAAAGAACCATCTCTTTCTTACCTTTTTGTAATCTGAAGAACCTTCTTTCGCCACAAATAACCTTCTGTGAAACAGAAAGGTTCTTCAGATGTTAAAGGTTCTTTATGGAACCATTTAGACAAAAAGGTTCTTCTATGGCATCGTGAAGCACCTTTATTTTTAAGAGTGTACATCCAGGGCTGTAGTTTAAATTCACAGCACCTGGTACAAAATCTTCATGGGTAGGCCTCGTCTCCTGGGACCAAAAAGTAAGCTATACTGTAAGAGTAGTTAGTGGGCCTCTTCACAGGGCTCAGGCAATCATGCTTGCATTTTTGTATACAAAAATAGAACAGCTATTACATGCAACCAACCTAATTCCTGCCCATTCTTCTTCTAACCCCTTATGAAGAAATGAGCACTGTCTGAGACATGAATGAATGATTCTCAACAAATACAAATTAAAAGTATGCAGCAAGTTTCCATTTATAGATTCCTTGGCGCCTGCTCACACTAGGAGTTCAGCACGAACTGACCTGGAAATACTGAAAAATCATTCACAATTGATTAGTACTCGTAGTACATATCAAAGCACATGGAAATATCAGCGGGGTATTTTCACCATGTGACTTTCACAAGTCTTTTGAAAGAGATTATAACAAATTTGGTCTAGCTTTCTAGACTACTTATAAAAGAAATAACAGTTATACTCAATAAAGCATGAAAATTGCCTTCACATGGTATTGCAACACAACATTACTTTATAGCATCACAGCTTACACAATGTTAAAGTGTATTTAATGCAACTAGACAGGGATAGTTCAGACAAAAATGAATATTCTGCCATTTTGGTGACCATTGACTTCCATTCTATAGACAATAAATAAATAAATAAATACATAAATTAACAACAGTCATTTCTCTAAATATTTTAACGTTCTAATGTATTACATTTTTTATATTTTAAACTACATTAATGTTCCACAGAATAAAGAAAGTCAAATCACACAATTTTCATTTTTTGGGTGAACTATCCCTTTAACGTATAATCTGACAAGAAATAGCTGTACAAGGTCGTTGTAACATGCTTGTGTGTGAAAATGTGTGTACAAGAGTATGTGTACAGAGTGCAATAACAGACAGGATGCTGGAATAAGATGCAGAGCAGCAGGCAGTCTTGGAATTAGAGCAGCGTGTGCTGTGGAAAATACTCAAGATTACTTTTCATTACACAGAGAGTTCTGCTGACCCTAATGGCCCTTCAGTCCTAAACATCTATCAAAAGTCTTAAAGGGAAGTTAAAGGTGATGTGTGTCATTCTTCAATGTTACTTATCCCAGCATAACATACAGTGAAAACTATAGGTGAGCCAACAGGTTGATTCCACTGAAAGATGTAAACACTGTGGAGCTATTAGAACATTACGCTCTCAGCAACACTGGCCCAACCAATGGTGTGAGTTTGAGGCGGGGCTAGCCATTTATCTGGCCAATGGCAGTTTGCGGAGAGTTGAGGAAATGTTGTGGCTCAGGGTGGTATTCCAGAAAGCAGGTTATGCCACATACTTGGGTAAGTTTGTTGATAAGTAAACAGATAACTTCAACTTTCAGTTCCAAAAACTGAAGTAACTTCCACGGTATGTAAGTAGCATTCTCTAAACATTCAGAGCATACATTCCTTATTACTGAGGCTTCAATGGGAGTATATAGTCATACATTTTTTAATTGTAAAGCAATATTATAACATAAAGCAATGTTGATTTTATTTTAGCTTTTGTTAACAGGCCATTTTCTATATAATGTACTTACAAAAATGTGGAAGTAAAATAAACTCACATAGCCACTTTTTTTTTTTGCAAGCACTGATTATTTTTAGTTGAGTCAATTTACAAATGTAGTATCAAACAAACAATATAATTCTTGAATAATTCTTCTCAGTAATAAAAAGCTGATTAAAGATTAAAACATGAGATGATTCCAAAACCTCCCATAGGTTAGGCAATATAGGAGGTGATATGCCCTAACAGCTAGTGCTGCCAAACGATTAATCGCGATTAATCGCATCCAAAATAAAAGTTTTTGTTTACATAATATATGTGTGTGTACTGTGTATATTTATTATGTATATATAAATACACACATATACAGTATATATTTTGAAAATATTTACCTGTATTTACATGTATATATTTATTTTCATATAATTTATATTATATAAAAATATGTAAACATAACACATTTCTCATAAATATATACGTGAATGTGTGTGTATTTATATATACATAATAAATATACACAGTACACACACACACACATATATTACGTAAACAAAAACCTTTATTTTGGATGCGATTAATCGTTTGACCGCACTACTAAAAATATAAATTGCCATTAATCGAAAGAAGTATGGTGCACTTCTTGGCGTCCGTTTCCATGCTGACTCCTGTTGAGAATGTCTTTGTGTGTTCACCATGAACATACTCGACTGACCTTACTCCCGGACACGTTATGTGATTTGGGATTTATATGAAAGTGAGTTAAAGGGGTCATATGATGCTTTTTTAAAGATCATTATTTTGTGTATTTGGTGTAACAGAATATGTTGACATGCTTTAATGTTCAAAAAACACATTATTTTAAAAAATACTGTACATTATTGTAGGTCTTTCTGGAATACCGCTCAGAAGCTCACTTCACCTTCAAATAATAATATTTAGACCGTGTTTACACTTGGCAGGTTTGGGTCGGTTAAAAGGAAATCTGGTGCGATTGCTCTGTTAGTGCAGTTCATTTGAATAAGTGTGAACACTGACATTTAAACCTTGGGGCGCACCAAACAAGTGGATGATGAACCTACCATGAAAAGGTAGGTCTCGGTCCACTTCCAGACAAACTCTGGTGCGGTTCAACTGAAATATGAGCGTAACACACCAAAGACATCTAAACTGTGTTAAAAATGAAAGTGTGAACGCTAAGCATAAACAATTTAATACTTTTAACCTCTTGAGAACCTCTAGGCAAGTGAAAGTACTACAGATATTGTGTATCATCTTCATTATATGTTTCAAATGCCTCAAAACCTTATGATGAGTTTACTAGAAGAATACTGGAAGCATAGATTTCTTGCAGGAACTTACAGTATGGGTTCCTCAGGGAACTTTCCTTTTCGAAAAGCTGCCTAGAGAGTCTCCAAAGAGTTTTTACAAGAGTCTTGAAAACCTGGTTGGCTTGACCTGGTTGAAAAGCATGTGTAGGACTTTCATCAACACGCTAATACAGAAAGCATGACGAGGGATGTATGCATTGGGCTTTTCTTTAGGCTTTCTACCCTATCCCTACTCTGGTCTTTGTCCTGGCCCTCTTCCTCTCTCTCACTTGTCAGTAGTTTTGCTTGGATCTTCCGCCTCCGCCTCCACTCCCTCTCCAGGACTGATTTCCACAGATAGGATCTCCTCTCCCTCAATGCGGGGGGTCATGCGGATGATCATGGTGCTGTCGGTGGTCTCTGATACCATGTCATCTTCATCTGGGACGTGAGGCCGGGGAATGGGGGAACGGCGGTGCATGGGTGAGGGAGGAGGCACTGGAGCTGTGGAGGTCCTGCCGGATGCGGGAGTGGACGGCTGAGAGAGAAAGAGACAGACAGGACAGACAAAAGAAGTAAGGGGCCTGACTGGTCACATAACAACAAACCGTGCTACTTTAGACATGAAGAACTTTCCCTGCGCAAGAATAGAGCACTGTTATCATCAATTATCAAAAGAGACTCTGTTATCAGTTTCAAGGTAGTCACATACTAACTATTCATGTTAAAGTAATACTGTTTTTATGTACTATATAACAGGGTGTGGGACTGTTTGCCACACAGTTTTAAAAGTTCCTGAATGTTCTGGTGTCACAACACAGTAATTCCCACACACGTCTAAACTAAACAACACATGCAACAACTACATTTGCAGAAAGCACATACTTTGTACTCAACAACTACATTTGCAGAAAGCACATACTTTGTACTCAAAATTAGCCTAATATATATATATATATAAAAATCTAATTAGGGATAAGCAAAGATCCATTTCCAAAAGCACAAACATATAATAACATTTCAAAAATTACTGTAGACAGTATATTAACAGTTTGTGAAAATGGAAAGATACATACAATAAATAAAATTTAAAAAGGTTTAAAATAATTGTTATAACATTTTTTTTTATCATATTGTCTATTTATTTTCTCATATTTATTTTGTCTATTTGTAAAGTCATAACTTTGTTGTAAAATAATATTGTTTTGATCTGTTTGCCATTTGCAATGGTTCCTATTTGCTATTTGCTAGTGTGATTTTTGGTGAACTGTATTAAAACCATTTAGGGTCAGTTTGACCTGCAAACATCATAATAATTATTAATTATAATAATTCAAGTTAATATAATAATTCAAAATAATAGTATATGGAACTCAAAACAATTAAAAAACAAAAATGTATTGTCCCCATTTTTAATTCACATATAATAACAAGCAAGATGACGATATGATGTTTATCATAATGATATTTTCACTACTGAACTAATTTGGTCACCTTCTATGGTCAGTTTTCTCTTTTTCAAGCCAGTTACTGTCAAGGTGAAGCAAATGTTTAAAGAGGATGTTGCTAACCATAGTTAAATCAGCAAAAGTCAGTTAAACCTTTGACAAACCTTAATAACAACACACCCTGATCATATATTCAAGTCTTAAGTTGACATTTAAGTTGACTTCGGAACACAAATTAAGATATTTTTGATGCGAGAGCTTTCTGACCCTCCATAGACAGCAACGCAAATACCACGGTCAAGGCCCAGAAAGGTAGTAAGGACATCGTGAACGTCATGTGACATCAGTGGTTCAACCATAATTTTATGAAGCTACTATAATACTTTTGGTGTGCAAAGAAAACAAAAAATAACGACTTTATTCAACAATTTCTTCTCTTCTGTGTTAAGTCTTCGACGCACGTTCACGAGGAGCCGGCGTTTCATTTTGGGGTGAACTATCCCTTTAAGTTATTAACTGAAAATCAATCAAATGCCAAATATGCCAAATACATAAACGTAAAATATGGTTAGATGCATCACTTGAAGTTTGATGTAAATGCTGTTTGGTCTCAAGACACGTGAGGACCAATGATGTTTGATGTCGTTGATTTATTACAATGCATCTAAAGGCACCATATCTTACAGTGAAGGGCAAGATTTTCAGTTATTAACAATCTGTTTATCACAATCTGTTTTAATGTCTGTCTTCAGAATATGTTTTTGGCCAAAAGCATCATAACACAGGGGATGTGAATACCTCTAGAGTTGCTCCCTTATATGTCTCCTTCAGCTTGGCAAAAGTCTGTCCTGTGCCAACCTCCAGTGCAGCCTTGTATAGTTTGGGCGTCTCCGGCCGCTGAGGGATGACCTCACCCGTCTCTTAAAGAAGTAAGGGGCCTGACTGGTCACATAACAACAAACCGTGCTACTTTAGACATGAAGAACTTTCCCTGCGCAAGAATAGAGCACTGTTATCATCAATTATCAAAAGAGACTCTGTTATCAGTTTCAAGGTAGTCACATACTAACTATTCATGTTAAAGTAATACTGTTTTTATGTACTATATAACAGGGTGTGGGACTGTTTGCCACACAGTTTTAAAAGTTCCTGAATGTTCTGGTGTCACAACACAGTAATTCCCACACACGTCTAAACTAAACAACACATGCAACAACTACATTTGCAGAAAGCACATACTTTGTACTCAACAACTACATTTGCAGAAAGCACATACTTTGTACTCAAAATTAGCCTAATATATATATATATATAAAAATCTAATTAGGGATAAGCAAAGATCCATTTCCAAAAGCACAAACATATAATAACATTTCAAAAATTACTGTAGACAGTATATTAACAGTTTGTGAAAATGGAAAGATACATACAATAAATAAAATTTAAAAAGGTTTAAAATAATTGTTATAACATTTTTTTTATCATATTGTCTATTTATTTTCTCATATTTATTTTGTCTATTTGTAAAGTCATAACTTTGTTGTAAAATAATATTGTTTTGATCTGTTTGCCATTTGCAATGGTTCCTATTTGCTATTTGCTAGTGTGATTTTTGGTGAACTGTATTAAAACCATTTAGGGTCAGTTTGACCTGCAAACATCATAATAATTATTAATTATAATAATTCAAGTTAATATAATAATTCAAAATAATAGTATATGGAACTCAAAACAATTAAAAAACAAAAATGTATTGTCCCCATTTTTAATTCACATATAATAACAAGCAAGATGACGATATGATGTTTATCATAATGATATTTTCACTACTGAACTAATTTGGTCACCTTCTATGGTCAGTTTTCTCTTTTTCAAGCCAGTTACTGTCAAGGTGAAGCAAATGTTTAAAGAGGATGTTGCTAACCATAGTTAAATCAGCAAAAGTTAGTTAAACCTTTGACAAACCTTAATAACAACACACCCCGATCATATATTCAAGTCTTAAGTTGACATTTAAGTTGACTTCGGAACACAAATTAAGATATTTTTGATGCGAGAGCTTTCTGACCCTCCATAGACAGCAACGCAAATACCACGGTCAAGGCCCAGAAAGGTAGTAAGGACATCGTGAACGTCATGTGACATCAGTGGTTCAACCATAATTTTATGAAGCTACTATAATACTTTTGGTGTGCAAAGAAAACAAAAAATAACGACTTTATTCAACAATTTCTTCTCTTCTGTGTTAAGTCTTCGACGCACGTTCACGAGGAGCCGGCGTTTCATTTTGGGGTGAACTATCCCTTTAAGTTATTAACTGAAAATCAATCAAATGCCAAATATGCCAAATACATAAACGTAAAATATGGTTAGATGCATCACTTGAAGTTTGATGTAAATGCTGTTTGGTCTCAAGACACGTGAGGACCAATGATGTTTGATGTCGTTGATTTATTACAATGCATCTAAAGGCACCATATCTTACAGTGAAGGGCAAGATTTTCAGTTATTAACAATCTGTTTATCACAATCTGTTTTAATGTCTGTCTTCAGAATATGTTTTTGGCCAAAAGCATCATAACACAGGGGATGTGAATACCTCTAGAGTTGCTCCCTTATATGTCTCCTTCAGCTTGGCAAAAGTCTGTCCTGTGCCAACCTCCAGTGCAGCCTTGTATAGTTTGGGCGTCTCCGGCCGCTGAGGGATGACCTCACCCGTCTCTTTAGCCTGGCCCTTCTCATCTGCAGGCTTCTTATCTTTGGTCAACATTTTCCTATGGAAGAAGACAAACTCATTAGGATGACAGGAAGTTGAGCTGTAAGCTAGCATGTGCATCGCTGAGACTCTAACAGGAAGCGGATCTCCACAAGGTTTGAGATGACATTAGATGACAGGATCCCAAGCACTTACACAACATCATTCACCACACACACACACACACACACACACACACACGGACACACAGTAAATTGGTCTCATGGGTGAATGCATCATGCGACTCGTGTCATGTCAAAGGAAGGGAAAAGTAGGATGTAGAGAGAAAAACAGAAACAGCAGAAAGACAGAAAACGTGGCTAATCTATAGAGATCTGTGAGTGTGATACAGAGCTGTAAATGGCTCAGACCACTGGGCTGGATGAAGCGTATGTGTGTGTGTGTGTGTGTGTGTAAGGACTGCTGGGGCTCTTGGTGACTCGTGTCATGTCAAAGGAAGGGAAAAGAAGGATGTAGAGAGAAAAACAGAAACAGCAGAAAGACAGAAAACGTGGCTAATGTATAGAGATCTGTGAGTGTGATACAGAGCTGTAAATGGCTCAGACCACTGGGCTGGATGAAGCGTATGTGTGTGTGTGTGTGTGTGTGTGTGTGTGTGTGTGTGTGTGTGTGTGTGTGTGTGTGTGTGTGTGTGTGTGTGTGTGTGTGTGTGTGTGTGTGTGTGTGTGTGTGTGTGTGTGTGTGTGTGTAAGGACTGCTGGGGCTCTTGGTTGAGATCCCTCTCACTTGGCCTTCTTGCGCAGTATCTTCTGGGACTCGGGGTAGTGCACTAAGATTTCTGCCAGGTCCTTCTTATCCAGGATGAAGAGGTTAGCAAAACCATGGGCCTTTACGTTAGCTGTTCGTCGGTTCCCACCTCCACCCGCCAGCAAACTGATGGAGTGAACACACACAAAAACAGTCAGAGTTTGACTCTTCACAAATAAAGCATGATTTATCTTTCTCACACTAGCTATTTTTGCATCTTCTCTCTTAAAAATAAAGGTGCTTCACGATGCCATAGAAGAACCTTTTTGTCTCATCAAAGCATGATTTATCTTTCTCACACTAGCTATTTTTGCATCTACACTCTTAAAAATAAAGGTGCTTCACGATGCCATAGAAGAACCTTTTTGTCTAAATGGTTCCATAAAGAACCTTTAACATCTGAAGAACCTTTCTGTTTCACAAAAGGTTCTTTGTGGCGAAAGAAGGTTCTTCAGATTATAAAAAGGTAAGAAAGAGATGGTTCTTTAAAGATCCTTTGACTGAATGGTTCTTTGTGGAACCAAAAATGGTTCTTCTATGGCATCGCTTGAAGAACCTTTTGAAGCACCTTTATTTTTAAGAGTGTAAAGTTGCAGATATCGCATTAAACATTTGCGAATGAAGCACTGTTTCCATTCCATGTGTTCAACAGCACAAAATCGTCACTTTCTGGGAAACTGGTGGAAAATGTCAATAATAAATATTAAAGTTGCTGCACCTGGGGAAGCCTGTGGCTGTAATTTCCGACATAATAAATGAATTCCGCCAAACGCTGTCATGTTATCTTGCGTTCGGATGCCTGATGTTTGGGAACGCAAGCATGTGAGAGCTGATTATACCAACTCATTTTGACTTTGGCTCATACATTTCAAAATGATTAAAATAACATTTGATGGTGTGTGATGAGATCAGTGTGCTGGTTAGTTCAGTTATCCAGTCACATGATCTGTTGAGGCAAAGTCACATGAGTTTTTTTGTTACACATTGAGGAACTTATTTGGTAAATGTGTTTCCAGCATTTTTTCGCATGTGTCTTCTTCTTTCTCAACTAAGCACATACATTTTTTATGCGCATTTTAAGATTTTGAGTGCATTAAGATTTTTATGTGATTGGTACTCAGAGTTTAAGTGATATCCCAAAATTCACATAAAAATACATGGATGGAAACAAAAATGTCTTAGCATTCTATTCAAAAGTCGAAAACTAAATTTTTTCTTCAAGAAAACGGCATTTGATAATGCTTCATTTATCACTGTTAAAGGTATAGTTCACCTAAAAATGGTCATCATGTATACCTACCTGTATGGCTTTCTTTCTTCATTGGAACATAAAAGATGATATGAAATATCTCAATGATAACCAAAATTGTTTGGTTACCAACATTCTTCAGAATATCTCTTATGTCCCGAAGAGGAAAGAAACTTATACAGTTATGCAGGAACAACATGAGGGTGAGTAAATGTTTACAAAAATTAAATTTTTAGGTGAACCATCCCTTTAACATGAAAGGTCAAGTTGAGTGCATTGCATTGTGAGATACAGAATATTCTGGCAAATGTACTAATGCTATATATATATATATAGAAAACAAATTGCATGCTACAAAAATAATATATTAAAGCAGTACTTTTCCTATTAGATCACATATGATTTTATCTAGCTGTCCTCATCAGTACACGAGGTATGAAAGTTGTGTCTTCAATAATTATCACTCACCTAATTTCCCCAAACACAGAGCCAGCTCTCAGAGTCACAAACACCGTCATCCCATCAGGTCCTCCAACCACCTGCACCTCTCCAGCTTTGATGATGTACATCTCTCGGCCGATCTCACCCTGACCGGCAGAGCCGAGCGGGACAAGAGTCAATTCAAACCGCGAACAGATAAAAGCCCCTTTCATGGCGTGACCTTTACTAAGACAACCTTCAAATATACTGGACATATACTGAGATAATCTATTGTAGATTTTACAATATTTTTTGCAAGGTAGCAGCAAAGCACGTACAGTAAATCACAAAAATAGTAAATGACATATTGCTCACTTTTTTACAAACAAAATCTCCCGGAAGGTACACCACGGATTTCAGCCTCTTGAGCATGTCAAATATCATCTGTCTGTCACATCCCTGGAACGAACAAGAGACAAAGACTTTTCATCAGCTTTTGCAACTTGTTATAGTGTCATAATGTGTCATTTTAAACAGATGAAACGGGATATTCAAAGAGAAACTAAATGAGTTAATCCATTGGGAACTGATTGGATGGTGAAAAGTGATCTCTATATGACAGATGTTTAGACAGGAGGACTTAAAAAATAACTGCGCTTGGCCATGTCAGGAAAGTTATTAGATTTTGATGAAAAATTACAAAGATAACGTTTTTTACACTGAACCAATGGAAGAACACAGATTGTACATTTTACTCAATCATATTATTTGTTGAAAAGAATTTGCATGGGACTTAATGAGGAGAGTAAAAATGTTAAAATGAAGTATTTTTGTGTGTTTTTTTAGCAAGATGAGAAAAGGGGGAGACTTGATAGTGTTTAATGTTTAATTATGTTGGGAGTTAGAACTGTTTCAATTAAACTGTGTTACCAGTTACCTAAACAAATTACGTTTGTATTATTCAACTGATTCATGTGCAATTAAATCATGATTCATTTGGATTAAATCATGTAAACACATTTTTCCCCCCACACTTTTCAGCACATGGCCTTTAAAAGAAATATATATTTTTTTACCTTGTATGAATATTAAATCAATGTAAGGTTTGAACCAAACTATATACATCATTTGAGAAAAAACAATAAATTTGGCTGTAACAAATTAGAGTATTTTTTTAAAAGTTGGTAGAAAGTATTTTTTCACCCATGGATCGATGCATCGATCAAATGACTAACACTATGATGTATCAATGTAACACGTAAAAAATCAATACATATTTTTCAGCTTTAAGTTTTTTCCCCCCTTTTTTCTATATTTTTCTATATGATTAAAATTTAAAAAAATTTTTTTTGGTGGATGTCCTAAATAAGATTCTGAGTTTTCAGAGAGTTTATTTATATGTTCATGTTATTTTTGTTGCATTTTTGATTTAATCAAAATGTAATTGGTTGTGTAAAATAGGCACATAATATTGTAATATTGATTTTAGGTCACTGAATCTAATCAAATCATAATTGTATCACAGCATGTTTTAAAGTACTGTATCACTGGCTAAGAGAATTGATGTCAGATAATACTGTTTTGTGATGAAACGTCTGTTGTGATTTACACCCCTAGAAATAGGATCAATTTGTTTTCAAGTAGAATTTATGTCTGGTACATTTGTTTTTGGTCCAAGCTGGTTATTGGTCATTGGCTGGTCCTAACATGTTAAATCAGCTGAACAACCATGGTTCAGCCTAGTACTGATCATCTTGGTCTGGAGCAAGACTGCTTTGGACCAGCAACAAACCAGCCTTAAACTGGAATGGTCTGCTTTTCCAGTAGTAGTTTGACTTTGTCATTCAGACCATGTCATTCTGTGTGTGTGTTCATGAAAGAAAGAAAAGACACTCACCTGAAAGAGCGCCACTTTACTGACAATGCTGTAGTTGACATCTGCAGCGATGTCCAGACGCATCTTATCTGGCAGCTGTATAAGTAACTCCTGTTCATCTGAAGACAAACAGATCACGAAACAGTTCAAAGACACTTATCATATGCAAACATCTAATGCAATGGAAATCTGCTTACCCAGCATGCCTTGCGACTTCCAGGTGTAATCGTACCAGATCTTGACGCGGTTCTGGACCTCACGGGGGATCTTGTAGGAACTCATGTATTTGACAGTGCTGTCCACACAGTGTCTATAATAGGCCTCACCCGCGGTGGCGGCTCCAAATACATCTCTCATCTATGTGTACACACACACACACACACACACACACACAGCATTGAGTTTTATGATTGGATTGTTTTAAAGTGGCATACAAACATGTCTTTGAGTTTTCTGTTGATGATATGGAAAAACAGCCATATTAAACTAGAAGGTAAATTTCACGAATGGCCGAGGCGTATTTCAGATCAAAAACAAGACAAATATTTTAATATTTTTATGTTATGATATTTTTTATTTTATTACATTTTTATGTTTCATTACATTCTATTCCTCCTACAAGTCTAATTAACCAAAATATTTTTTCTATTCATTAGAAATTGAAAATCTCATTAGTGATTAGTGATTTTTATCTCATTAGTGATTAGTGCTTCTCATTAGATACAGTGTGATTTTAGTATCTTTTTATACATTTTTTTTTATTTTTTCTGTTATTATTTTCTTTTTATTAGTAGTTTTAGAACTTTTTGTGAAATATAAACTCATTTCTATCTCACATTTCTGACATTTTCTCTCAGAATTTTGAGTTTACATCTCGCAATTCTGTTTTTTTGTTTCTGCCAAGGAATAAATAAATAAAAAGGTTTGCAGCTTTTTTTCTCAGTTCTGTGCAATTGTGAGTTTATATCTTTTCTTTCTAGAATTGCGATTTTATATCTCGCAGTTCTGAGTTTCTATCTTGCCATTTGACTTTTTTCTAAGAATTGTGAGACAAACTCAGAACTGCAAGAAAAAAAATCTGAATTGTAAGACAAAATGGTCAGAAAAACAGGCTTCCACAATTTCAAGCAAAACATTTCACAGAAAGAAATGAGTGATGCTTGAACCACTAACATAGTAGATTATCCTGTTCAAAACTACAACCAAAAGTGTTGCTAAACTTTCTGGTTGTCAGAAGTTAATTGACATTATGTTCATCACAGCAGGTGCTTTCGCTCACCACAATGTCCCCTCCTCTCACAAACTGCAGTCTGGGCTGCATAACAAAGATGTCGAGAATATAAATGCCATCACAGAAGTAGTCCATCAGCAGCCACCAGTGAATGTTCTCAGATGTCTGGTACGGGAAAGTGCAGCGCACAGGGATCAGCCAAGCATTCCAGTTCCACGCGAGGGTCACAAAGAACAGCCACACCACGTAGATCAAGTCTGTGAAAGAAAGAATCAGCAGGCTTACAGTATACAGTATTTATGCCTTCAGAATGACATTTTGATGAGGTCATACTATACAGTACATGTTTATAATCTTTTCCCTTGTAATTTTAAGTCTACTTTAAAAAAAAAAAAAAAAAGGAGCTGCTCTGAAAGTCACTTCACTAGCATTTCAACATTTAATTTGATAAAAACTATTGTTAGATACAAAGAAACTCAAAGTTCTTAATGACAACTCATGTTAACTTGAAGAAATTATTACTAAAATATAGGCTATTTCTATTGGAGTAGAACGTTTTTACCTTGAATCGCTCTGTTTGCCTGTAGTTGTCTCTCATTGCTATTTTGTCACACTGAGCCAGACAAAATATAAAATACATCAATAGACGTCAACAAAACAAAACAAACCTAAAAAAAAATTCCAGATACTTACAAATGTATGAATGGAATTGCGTTATATTGCAACAAAACTTCAATCTAGTGACATTCATTTTAAAGAACGACAGTATGGAAGCCTGCTTAATACAAATAATAAAACAAATAATTCTGATGACTTTTTATTTCACAACTCACAATTTGGACTTTTCCGATTCTGAGAATTTTTTTATTTTGCAATTCTGAGTTTGTCTCAATTCTTAGAAAAAAAAGACACATTGTGAAATATAAACTCATTTCTATCTCACATTTCTGACATTTTCTCTCAGAATTTTGAGTTTACATCTCGCAATTCTGTTTTTTTGTTTCTGCCAAGGAATAAATAAATAAAAAGGTTTGCAGCTTTTTTTCTCAGTTCTGTGCAATTGTGAGTTTATATCTTTTCTTTCTAGAATTGCGATTTTATATCTCGCAGTTCTGAGTTTCTATCTTGCCATTTGACTTTTTTCTAAGAATTGTGAGACAAACTCAGAACTGCAAGAAAAAAAATCTGAATTGTAAGACAAAATGGTCAGAAAAACAGGCTTCCACAATTTCAAGCAAAACATTTCACAGAAAGAAATGAGTGATGCTTGAACCACTAACATAGTAGATTATCCTGTTCAAAACTACAACCAAAAGTGTTGCTAAACTTTCTGGTTGTCAGAAGTTAATTGACATTATGTTCATCACAGCAGGTGCTTTCGCTCACCACAATGTCCCCTCCTCTCACAAACTGCAGTCTGGGCTGCATAACAAAGATGTCGAGAATATAAATGCCATCACAGAAGTAGTCCATCAGCAGCCACCAGTGAATGTTCTCAGATGTCTGGTACGGGAAAGTGCAGCGCACAGGGATCAGCCAAGCATTCCAGTTCCACGCGAGGGTCACAAAGAACAGCCACACCACGTAGATCAAGTCTGTGAAAGAAAGAATCAGCAGGCTTACAGTATACAGTATTTATGCCTTCAGAATGACATTTTGATGAGGTCATACTATACAGTACATGTTTATAATCTTTTCCCTTGTAATTTTAAGTCTACTTTAAAAAAAAAAAAAAAAAGGAGCTGCTCTGAAAGTCACTTCACTAGCATTTCAACATTTAATTTGATAAAAACTATTGTTAGATACAAAGAAACTCAAAGTTCTTAATGACAACTCATGTTAACTTGAAGAAATTATTACTAAAATATAGGCTATTTCTATTGGACAGTAGAATTGACCTCTCGAAGTAATAATAGTAATAATTAAAATTATGATTTTTTAAAGGAATAATACATTTTCTTATATATATATATATATATACTGTATATTATAAATTTTTTATTTTTTAACAGCAAACCTTAATGCACGTTTTGAACGAATTGGGTGAACCATTAGGCTTGTTGGAACCATTGGCCATAGGCGTGTTGGATTGGAAGCGGCGCTACACAGAGCGATCGGTGTATGACATCAAAGGCCCGCAAGAGCGATTCAAAAGCATAAGGAGCCGCCTGCTCTCTGATTGCTCTTGTGGTACTTTGATGTCCACACCGATAGATCTGATAGTGATGATCCGCTTCAAGTCGAACAAGCCTAATGATTCAATGGACCATTCATAAAGAACCATTTACTTCACTCCTGAATGAATCAGCCATTCGAACGAATCAAATGAATGAATAAATGACTCCATGACTTAATCATTAAGACATTTACCACCACCTACTGGCAGTTTTAGTTTATTATTTAGAGTACCATTTCATTAAAGAAATAATTTAATATTTTCATAGTAATAATAATAAAATTAATAAAATAAATTATTAAAGGTATAGTTCACCCACCCAAAAATGACAATTGTGTCATCATTTACTCATGGACCTCATGGTCCAAAAGACTATATGTAATAAATTTTATCAAACAAAATATTTCTTTCTGAAGCTACTTTTTGTAATGTCTGTTTGATGCTTTACACAGCAATGACTTTAAATCATCTTTTGGGAGTAATTTCTCAGCCAAATATGATGTGCGATTATTTTGCGATTAATTAGATTAATTAATCACCACATCGTGTAATTAATTAGAATGAACATTTTAACACACACACACACACACACACACACACACACACACACCTGTGGATAATAAATCTTAAAACACGAAAGTTGAACATTCACATTTTCACTTTCACTTTTCCCCCCACTTTTTTCCATGATTTCTCAGATCAGGGCTTTATACTGACTTTTGTCCCCAAAGGAGCACATGGGCGACTAAATAAAACAATTTAGGAGCACATTACAAAACTTTAGAGGCACAATGAAAATTTATAGAAGAAAATTGTACCTTTATTAAAAATACAAGAAGCACACCAGGCATCAAACTGTATTTAATATTTGTTTAAATATTTATAGACCTATTGTAAGCTGTATAAATTGTGTGTGTGTGTGTGTAGTGTGTGTCTACACACACACACACACACACACACACACACACACACACACACACACACACACACACACACACACACACACACGTACAGTGGGTATGGAGAATCACCCCCCTTTAAACGCCTGAAACGAAGACGGACCAAATTACCGATAATAACCAAGGAAAAAAAAAAAAGTATGATAATGCAGGACTTTTAATAATAAACAAGCCTAAAAATACACCATGACTCTTATTTTGAAATGTCTATCATTTAATATTGCCGGCTATATTAATATGACCCATTTTTATTTATTTATTTTTTTTATTGTCCAGTACATTTCTCCTCAACAGGATGCAATATTGGAGGTAATATTCATGTCAATAGTGCACACTATGTGGTAGAGTTTTGAAAAAGCCCTAACCTTAAGTGTGAACAATAGTAATATTGGTACTTGTATTAGCAACAAATAACTTGCACATAACAGACAGCACAGCACAGCACAGCACAGCGCTATCTAGCACAGTCAGTTCACCTGAGAGATTGCTGGAGGTTTGGTTTCTTTCTGTAACTGTAGGGCACTTCAAAATCATGTCTATAGGTGTCAAGCATGGGATGATCTGGATTTTAGGGCACTTTGGCTTGGGATGACAGTGGGTCTCTTGGGTGTTTTAAGAATAAAATCCACTAGCTACAGATTCTAACTCCAAGACTACATACTGCTGCTGAGGAGTTCTACATGGGCTTGAGGATGTTGAGGCGATGGATAACGTTCTGGAAGCACTGGTTGGCTTGTTTTGGAAGCTGGGATATCTCCTGGTATAGCAGCAGGAGATCGGAGGGCATCTTGGGCAGGGGAACATTATTGTTTTTCAGCAGGTGTAAGCTGCTCAGACATGTGGAAGCATGGGGGATGCGAAGAATCCAGCTCTTTATGCCAGAACAGCTAGCAGGCACTGCAGATAGGCAGACCGCTTCAATTACTGGACATTCACATTACATTGCATTGGTTATGTTCAAACTGGATATCAGTAACCAGTCACTAGACACAGTAATGTTTGTTTGGTTTATACTCTTGGTTTTATACGGCACATCTTTCATTCTTGTATAGATATAATGTGCGTGTATTTGTGTGTGTTCATGTTCTCTCTGACCTCCACATCCTTCTTCAGGAGGTTCCTCTTCCTGTAACAACAGAAGATGAAAAACGACATCACAAAGACAAATATAAGAAACTTTTCCCCAACATTTGTAAGTGTATACCTGTCATTCAGAAAAATCCCAACATAATTTTTGTTTCTGCACTAAAAAATGGCTTTAAGACAATTTTCACTTAGAGATTGCTAATACATTTCACAAATAATTACAAAGAAACAGCATATAATTAAATGTGAACCTTTGGAGTGAAAAGGCTAAAATTGTATTTTCTTGTAAAACACTCTAATCTTTGTTTTATTTACACATTTTTTACAGTGTGAAATAAATCTATTTTAAAAGAGTTTTTTTTCCACCAAGGTCACCACAGAAAAGATTTATGATTGTACAAATAACTTTCTATTTCACTTAAAAGCTATGTTATTCACAATCTCTATTAAAAGAATCCTCTGCTTGCTACAATGACAATTAAGAAGGCTTTGTGCATTCTTACATTTTATTACTTTTGCAAACTAGTCCTAGGGGTTTTACCTGATTGGAACCAAACCAGTACAGAAAGATTCTCTGGAGGCTGAATATCAACAATTATCAAAAAAAGTAAAACTTTTGACTAACCATTGCAACGGGACGCCGGAACATTTGTAAGGGGCAGAGCTGCTTTTACTAAAACGCCTATAACTCTTGAACGGAAAGAGATATTTTCACCAAACTCAGAACATGTATGTAAGAGCTCAATCTGAGGTGACCGTAAATTCCACCGTTTGGCCACTTGGTGGAATTAAGGAGTTGAGTTTGACATCCCTGCTCTAGATCAATAATGAAAAAAAAGAAAAAAAAAAAAAAAAAAAGTGAATATTAACCTTTTGGGTAGCTATAACGGGGTTGTTTAGAAAAGGGGAGTGTCCAAATACACCCAAAAGCCAATAAATCCTAAATGAAAGCGCAAAACGTCACGAAAATCTGACCACAGCTGTAACCAAAACAATTAATAAGGCTTCAAAACATCAAATGACGTCAAATTGCAAAAAAAATAACATACAAAATGTGCAGAGCAGTGGTACCCCAGGACTGGAATTATGAACCACTACTAGGGCTGCACGATAAATCGTATGCGATATTTAACGCGCATCTTATCAGTAAAGCCGGTTCTGTAATCAGTGGTAAATCTCCATCACGTGCGTGCTTTCACATTGAGCAGCATTAACTACACAGAGCCGTTGTTCACTGACGAGCTGTGCAAAACCACGTTCATATTCTTGCGATTTTTTTTTGCGCAGCGGCTCTGTGTAGTTAATGCTGCTCAATGTGAAAGCATGCACGTGATGGAGATTTACTGCTGTTTACAGAACCGGCTTTCTGACAAGATGCGCATTAAATATTGCATGCGATTTATCGTGCAGCCCTAACCACTACTATAGTTCTATGGTAAATTCCTTGAAATTGCATTTATAACCACTAGATGGAAGCAGAGGATCACTCATTGACTCATTCTGTTCCCTAATATGCTCCTTTTCACAAGGTTTTACTTTTGGATTTACATTAAAACTATTTAAAAATCATTATTATTGCATTTAAAATCACATTTTGTCAAAGTTTACCACTTCATTTATACAGACATATCAGACATGATAAACACTATAAACATTCTCATGTTTTTCTCATTCACTACAAATCCAAATGTGCGCTTCATGCATGTTTTGCGTACTTGACATTAATTGCATTGCATAAGTCACTATACAATATAAATCACAGCATGTTTCCGATGATAAAACATGCGGCTTATATTCTGGAAAATATGGTAATAACGTTTTGGCTGTTTTTGATGAATTAGAAGTTGCCTTGGTGAAAACAAATCAATTCCTTTCAAAAACATTTAAATATCTTCCCAAACTTCCTGTGAAGAACTGTGCTAAATTGTTTTAAGCGTTGTTACCTGGTCAGCATCAGGAGGTAAAGATGTGGCACGCTGAGGCTGAGTGGTCACGAGCGGTGAGACCGGATCTGCTTGTAGTGCCTGATCTGAAACCTCAGACTCATGTGGCGAGGGCTCCGCAGGGCAGACGTCCACCAGGCTCCTGAAAAGGGGTTTGAGCAGAAGTCTAGTCATGGCAACACAACCAGTCAATCAGAGGCTGGTAAGCCACCTATCAGATCTGTAAGTGTTGACCAGGAAAAACTCAATGGAGGTGGCAAGAACGTGTTATTGGATTATGAAAATCAACCATTCTGAAAGACAATCACATTTGTACTCATCTGAAAGGATGTTTTTAAATCCAGCTGCAGTGAAAATGAATTTCTGATGTCTTTTAGGGTCTTTCATAAAGAGATTACAGTTACAGGAATAACTGTTCCTGTTTCCATATTTTTTTAATGAAAATATGCTGAAAATGTACCACCCTCAGGCCATCCAAGATGTAGACGTAGTTTGTTTCTTCATCAGAACAGATTTGGAGAAATTCAGTATTACGTCACTTGCTCACCAATGGATCCTCTGCAGTGAATGGGTGCCATCAGAATGAGAGTCCCAACAGCTGATAAAAACATCACAACAATCCACAAGTAATCCACACAACTCTAAAATATGAGTCCTATATCCATAATATTCCTTTCTCCAGAAATAAAGTCATCTCATCTGAATCAGGAGAGAAATATGCACAGATCAAGCACCATTTACAAGCAAAAACAATCCAAAACACTTATGAACAAATATGCCAGTGGATTTTGATGGACTTTTTCACTGGAGGAGGCATTATTATGGATTATGGACTGGTATTTTGGCCAGAAGCGACGGTTTAAAGTCAAAATGCCTTAATGATGGATTTGTTTCTTACAAACACGCAGCTTTTCACTTCACAAGACATTAATTGTTGGACTGGAGTGGTGTGGATTACTTGTGGATTATTGTGATGTTTTTATCAGCTGTTTGGACTCTCATTCTGACGGCACCCATTCACTGCAGAGGAACCAATGGTAAGTGATACATTTCTCCGATAAACAAACAAACTCATCTACATCTTGGATGGCCTGAGGGTGAGTACATTTTCAGCAGATTTAATTTTTTCTGGTGTTTACCAAGTTAATGCCTGGTGAGGACTATGGTAACAAGCAAATGCAACAAACTGTATGATGGTGACATTGCTGGTCTCAAAAGAACCTCAACTTTTATACTCCTTTTCATCTACTTTTTCTAATAGTAATACATCCTCTGGCATGGTTAGATTGTCACACGGAGTCAACTTTTAACTAAAAGTAGCAATGCTACTAACTTAATTTTCAGTGGCCCAGCTGTTAGCCCAGTAGTGGTTTAGCATGACGAAACTCTACTAAATACTTTTTGTGGCATGTCTTAGATGATGTTATATGAGTAGCATCCCAAGTAAAAAAGTAATATATTTTAAATACATTTATTTCTTACTTAATTCAAATCTATTAACACATTTACTGACATATCGCTCGAGACTTACGGATATAAAAATTATAATTCAACTTTATTTGGAGTACTTTACTTGTGCACAATGCACATTTCTTAATATTTTGCCTAAAATGTGCTTTAATATCACTATTGATGAGGATTGTATGATCTTTGAATAATATCGGTCTTCAAATGCAAGATATTCAAAGTATACTGAAGTATATTTGCTATAGTTCCACTTTAGCAGAATCAAATATACGTCAGTTTATCTTTAGTTGTACTTCCGCACAATTACAGTGCATTAAGTAGAAAATTAGTTGTTCCAATTTAGCTGACTTTAAGTATACCAGTTTAGTATACTGAAAGTACAATTGCAGGGTATTTTTATTAAGTACATACATATGTAAATGTACTTGTAGTATACTTAGCATGAAATAAATGTATTTCAAATACATTTTAGTATATTTGTTTTTCACTAGGGATAAGGGGTAATGTAAGTAAAATCTATGTTTAATGTACACAAAATAATGTAGGCCATTCTAACATACCTTTTCATGTCAGCACTGTTTACAGGGGATGTCAAGTTGGTTGCAAGATGTTGATAAAAAGTGCACATTTCAGTTTAATTCCATGACTTTCTGGCTTTCTGAATTCAGCACTGCAATATGCAGCAGCAACAGCAGGTCTGAAACTGCGTTCTACTTCTACATAAGTGCTTCGGCCTAAAAGCTTCTTTGGCATCAGCTGTTCTGGTTTTCAGGCAGGATGGTTTATAGTGATGTGGTAAAGCAGGATGAAGCCTAAATTAAGCATCTGACATCACGCCCAAAATAACACAAAGTACTCAAAAGTGGGACATTTCTGTTTTTGCAATAGTTTGTCTTTTTACAGACTGAAACACTCAAAAGAGATTTGCTAAATTGCTAAAAAAATTGTTATACTATCGGACAAAAGTTTCCAATAATTAAGATTTTTTTTAAATGTTGTTGAAAGATGTCTCTTGTGCTCACCAAGGTTGCATTTATTTGATCAAAATACAGTAATATTGTGAAAGATTGTTACAGTTAAAATAACTGCTTACTATTTGAATATATTACTGTGATTTTCAGCATCCTTACTTCAGTCTCCGCTGTCACATGATCCTTCAGAAATCATTCTAAAAAAAATGTATTACTATTATCAGTGTTGAAAACCGATTTTTTTTGCACAATATTTTTATTTTTTGTGTGTGGAAACTGATACATTATCATTCAAATGTTTGGAGTAAAAAAGAAAAGAAATGAATCCTTTTATTCAGCAAGGACGCATTCGATTGATCAAAAGTGTCAGTAAAGACATTTATAATAATATATATCATTTCTATTTCAAATAAATGCTGTTCTTTTAAACTTTCTATTCAAAGAATCGTGAAAAGAATGCTTTATGGCTTTCACAGATATATTAAGCATCACAACTGTTTTCAACATTGATAATAATAATAATAAATGTTTCTTGAGCACCAAATCAGCACATTAGAATGATTTCTAAAGGATCATGTGACACTAAAGAACATTTCACTAAAGAAAAATGTGAAAATATATGAACAAAATAGATAATATTAGGATTATACATAATTACCTTTTTAAAACAATTGCTTGAAAAGTTATTTAAGATAGTTTGTACTGTAAATCAATATATATCTGATATATATACAGTAATACTGCCCAGACCTAAAGACAATATAAAACATTGCATGAAAGTATGAAGGCTTCATACTTATCTCAGGAGTACATGCTCTAGTTTTACAGGAACAGTAGAGGCAGTGTGGGGACTGTGTGGATATAAACAGCAGCTATAGCATGTGTTGCAGCTTTAATGAAGTATAATGTCGCGCTAAAGGACCCTGCTATCACTGCTTGATTTGTCATGTCAACTACACAGGTAGTGTATTGCCCACACGCCCAAAATAACACAAAGTGCTCAAAAGTGGGACATTTCTGTTTTTGCAATAGTTTGTCTTTTTACAGACTGAAACACTCAAAAGAGATTTGCTAAATTGCTAAAAAAATTGTTATACTATCGGACAAAAGTTTCCAATAATTGAGATTTTTTTTAAATGTTGTTGAAAGATGTCTCTTGTGCTCACCAAGGTTGCATTTATTTGATCAAAATACAGTAATATTGTGAAAGATTGTTACAGTTAAAATAACTGCTTACTATTTGAATATATTACTGTAATTTTCAGCATCCTTACTTCAGTCTCCGCTGTCACATGATCCTTCAGAAATCATTCTAAAAAAAATGTATTACTATTATCAGTGTTGAAAACCGATTTTTTTTGCACAATATTTTTTTTTTTTTGTGTGTGGAAACTGATACATTATCATTCAAATGTTTGGAGTAAAAAAGAAAAGAAATGAATCCTTTTATTCAGCAAGGACGCATTCGATTGATCAAAAGTGGCAGTAAAGACATTTATAATAATATATATCATTTCTATTTCAAATAAATGCTGTTCTTTTAAACTTTCTATTCAAAGAATCGTGAAAAGAATGCTTTATGGCTTTCACAGATATATTAAGCATCACAACTGTTTTCAACATTGATAATAATAATAATAAATGTTTCTTGAGCACCAAATCAGCACATTAGAATGATTTCTAAAGGATCATGTGACACTAAAGAACATTTCACTAAAGAAAAATGTGAAAATATATGAACAAAATAGATAATATTAGGATTATACATAATTACCTTTTTAAAACAATTGCTTGAAAAGTTATTTAAGATAGTTTGTACTGTAAATCAATATATATCTGATATATATACAGTAATACTGCCCAGACCTAAAGACAATATAAAACATTGCATGAAAGTATGAAGGCTTCATACTTATCTCAGGAGTACATGCTCTAGTTTTACAGGAACAGTAGAGGCAGTGTGGGGACTGTGTGGATATAAACAGCAGCTATAGCATGTGTTGCAGCTTTAATGAAGTATAATGTCGCGCTAAAGGACCCTGCTATCACTGCTTGATTTGTCATGTCAACTACACAGGTAGTGTATTGCCCAGGCTGCTAGATCTGTGCTGCTTAGCTCTGAGGATGAAGGCCTTACTCTGTGATCTTACTATCCTCTCTCTCCTCCTCACTCTCTTCACCGAGCGGCTGTAACCTGTATGGCGAGCCGGAGAGGACAAACAGCACTTCAGCAGCTGACACGCAGGAGAATAAAGTAACGGTACAGCAGTAAAACGAAGCAAGCACAAACTCGCATCCAGTCATATTGTGAGTTGTAACATTCACTCTGCTGTGAGGAAATTTGCAGCACTGAAGGGTTTGAAGCAGAGTCCAAAATTAAGTTTTTGCCACACCTGCGAATGGAAAGTGTAATACTAGCCATGCATTTTTTTTTAAATCAGCCATTAAAGTGCATTTTGCAATAATTAAAAAAATCTATAAATATAGTGTATATACTGTATAAGATTTGGGATTATTAATCATACACTGTAAAAAATTGAATGTTTTACAAGATTATACTATTTTAGTCTTTCTTCTTCAAATCTTCACATGTACTTTTATGTTACCTGCCTTTGTAATTATTTGTAAAATGTATCAATTTCTAAGTGAAAATAGTTTCTACACCAATTTTTTTAATTATTTTTTTACTGCAAATTAGTGACCAACACCACTTGCAGCATCATATGAGATTTAATTTAATTTACATCATATTCAATTTGAATTTACATCGTATTATATCATATTACATCATATAAGATTTCATTTAATACTTTAATTTAATTTAATACTTTAATTTAAAATAATTTAATAAACTGCATCTGTCAAAAAAAAAGAAAAAAAAGAAGCAAGACATGATTTTGCTATTATGTAATTTTTTATATATACACTAAGGTTAAACAATTTGGGGTCAGTAAATTTTCATTTATTTATTTTTCTCCTGAAAGAAACAAATTTTTTTCATCAATGACAGATTAAATTGATCAAAACTAACAGTAAAGATATTTATAATGTTACAAAAAATATCTATTTCTAATAAATGCTGTTCTCTTGAACTTTGAAGGATCACTGAAGACTGGAGTAATTCAGCTTTGCATCACTGGAATAAATCATATTTTACAGTTTAGTTTTAATTTTAATAATATATCACAGTATTACTTTTTTTTTACTGTATTCTTGGTGAACATATTCTTTCAAAAACATAAAATCGTACTTGCAAAACTTTTGAATATTGTTATTTGGGTTAAAATGAGGAATATGCACATATACTGTATGTAATGAAAAGTAATGTAATGAAGCGTATAGATGACCACAAAGCTAATAGAAATAGACATAAGCTCTAATTCTAGGCCAAAGACTATTGTTACTGTTTTTGTTATTTGGTGAGTGTTAATTTTGGACCCTGGCAGAAAGCAAGGAGTGAGAGCGGAAGGGAGGGAAGACACTTACTCCGGATCTTCTTCATTCTCTTCCTCCTGGATATTTGGCAGTCTTTGTAAAACAAACAGTGAACAGGTGAATTCTGAACACTGTAAGTGTGTTGATGTGTGTGTCTGTGTGTGTGAAAGATATAGAGACACAGCGCACTTGTCGCAAAAGTGACTACTTTAGTAGCCACTTTGTGGTTTATCACACCCCAGATCTCAGTCTTAACAAACACAGAACAGGGCATGAACTCAATTCCTCTCTGAGTTTGTGGTGTGTTTGTGACTTACTGATCCTCATTGTCCAGCTCTTCTGTTTTCGTGTCGATGATGATCTGTGTGGTTTGCTCTTCCTCCAGCTGTCTGACGGCCAATTCTGCAGCCTGCCGGGCCAGATCCTCCGCTATGCGAGCCGCTTCCACACACTCCTGCTGAAGTCTACACACACACACACACACACACACACACACACACACACACACACACACACACACACACACACACACACACACACATATATCATTGCACTCATTTTTGACCTTGTAAACAAATATCAGCAACTGAACCAAACTGCATAGTTTTTGCTCAGTTTGAGATTAAAACTAAGGTGTCACTGCACTAATGCACAGGTTTTTCAAGTCATATGCATATTTTTCCCAAGTCATATAGCTTTGTTGTGGTTGTTATTGACTAAAGATCTTCCCCTTTAAATGCCATTCAGCATACTCAAACTGGAAAGTTTTGTTTGGTTGTGAATTTTAATTTTTGGGTTAACCATTTCTTTAACCAAGGTCAAGTCTTAAAGGTACAGTAGCAAAAGGGACTATTTAACTCTGAGGGTCAGAGAGAGGGTGAAAAACTAAACTACGACTGGTTTTGGTGCAATAAACCTTGAAAAACATTAAAAGTATAGAATATAATCTAGCCCTTATTAACCCTATAAAGCCTTTTATATAAAGTCACTGTATTTGATGCACACATTTCTAAGGCCTCTAAATGATCAAAACTTTGAGGAAAACCAATCATCTGCTAATTTATACTTCACAGGTAAAAAGCCTTTTAGTGTAACAATATCCACCATCAGGTTGTGGTTCACGTGTCTTTACTGATTTTAACATACATAATAAGTGTGAGAATAACTTTTGCATTGTTAGTAATATTTCAAGATGAACACTTATTGGACTGAAGCAACTTAGGTTTACTTGATTATCCATACAATTTTTTTTTTTTTTTAGAAAAATCATGTTAAAATGTGAGTATCAAATCATGTCAAATTCATGTCTCAGTCATCACTGTATTGCATTGAATTATGTTTTCAATATGTTTTTTGCCTCCACAATAAAAACTACAGAGACTTATTATTGGGAGAGACAGAGTGACATCTGATATTTATATGTATTTTATGTAAGTAGTCTCCTATACTGTAGCAAATATTTAATTGATTTACATTACAAGCTTTCAGAATTTCATTTGACTTTTTGCCTTATAAATTTCAGCAACTGAACCAAACGGCATATTTTTTGCTCAATTTGAGAATAAAATTTAGGTGTTTTTTCCTCTTATGAGCTTTACATTCTCCTATATCACACTACATGAGCCATAAAAGCCAAGTATCAAATATGATTTTTTTTTAATTTTTTTAATTAGATTATGTCTAAAGATTTAATAAACTGTTCTATTTCAAATGACATCATTGAGATTTTTCTAAATATTATTTCATATTTCAGGTCTCACATAGTTAAATCCACCACAAGGTCACTGGGATCCAAACCATTGGTTCTCACCTCTCCTCTATGTTTGCTATGGCATTCTCCTCTGCTTCCTTCTTGATGCTCTCAATGAGAGGCGTCCAGCGCTCAGTCTGGGTCTCTGCGTCCTCCTGCTCCTGCATGGCCAGCATGTGCGGCAGGATATTGGGCAGCACCTGCAGCAGGGATGAGCCCTCCTGTGGCACCTGCTCCTCAGCCTGTACGTCCTGCCCCGAGCCCTGCTCCCTCTGCTGGGCCTCCCAGTCTGAGCCCACCTCCTCCAGCACCATATCACACGGGTCCTGCAGGATGCAGACTGCATCGACAATAGGAAAAAAAATCATGCTTCGTAGGTCATAGAGATTAGGCTGAGAAACTGATATTTCTTTTTAAAGTTATCCTTTTCTACTGAATATTTTTGTATCAATGCATCACAATTGACGTGGTATTCTCAGAATCTGAAGCATGTAGATTCAATTCCAGTGCATGGGAGAAATTGTGCATTATAGCATTGATCCCACTGGAGCCCAAATTGGTTTGCTGGACTCCAAGCATGTCCAAGCAGATTAGGCTGGTCTGTTTAGGTTTTGGATGGTTTTAGAGGGGTTTTGGGCAATTGTCAGCTGTTTTTTTTTTTTTTTTTTAATCATTAATTCTAATAATACATTGTATGTCTGTATTAGGTATTGAAAAGCAACATATTTAGACCCCAATTGCAAAATTTGCACATTTTGTAATTTGCCTTATAAATTTCAGCAACTGAACCAAACGGCATATTTTTTGCTCAATTTGAGAATAAAATTTAGGTGTTTTTTCCTCTTATGAGCTTTACATTCTCCTATATCACACTACATGAGCCATAAAAGCCAAGTATCAAATATGAATTTTTTATTTTTTTTTAAAAATTAGATTATGTCTAAAGATTTAATAAACTGTTCTATTTCAAATGACATCATTGAGATTTTTCTAAATATTATTTCATATTTCAGGCCTCACATAGTTAAATCCACCACAAGGTCACTGGGATCCAAACCATTGGTTCTCACCTCTCCTCTATGTTTGCTATGGCATTCTCCTCTGCTTCCTTCTTGATGCTCTCAATGAGAGGCGTCCAGCGCTCAGTCTGGGTCTCTGCGTCCTCCTGCTCCTGCATGGCCAGCATGTGCGGCAGGATATTGGGCAGCACCTGCAGCAGGGATGAGCCCTCCTGTGGCACCTGCTCCTCAGCCTGTACGTCCTGCCCCGAGCCCTGCTCCCTCTGCTGGGCCTCCCAGTCTGAGCCCACCTCCTCCAGCACCATATCACACGGGTCCTGCAGGATGCAGACTGCATCGACAATAGGAAAAAAAATCATGCTTCGTAGGTCATAGAGATTAGGCTGAGAAACTGATATTTCTTTTTAAAGTTATCCTTTTCTACTGAATATTTTTGTATCAATGCATCACAATTGACGTGGTATTCTCAGAATCTGAAGCATGTAGATTCAATTCCAGTGCATGGGAGAAATTGTGCATTATAGCATTGATCCCACTGGAGCCCAAATTGGTTTGCTGGACTCCAAGCATGTCCAAGCAGATTAGGCTGGTCTGTTTAGGTTTTGGATGGTTTTAGAGGGGTTTTGGGCAATTGTCAGCTGTTTTTTTTTTTTTTTTAAATCATTAATTCTAATAATACATTGTATGTCTGTATTAGGTATTGAAAAGCAACATATTTAGACCCCAATTGCAAAATTTGCACATTTTGTAATCTGCAAGAACTGTTTAAAAATCTGTTTGATGTAACACCTACAGCATATGTCCTAAAGTGTTCAAATTTACTAAAACAGAAATGTATTTAAAAAATGAATGAAATTATTTTAGCTGCAGTCATACAGTAGTGCTTCTTCCACATACAATTTTGCAAGCAATTTACATATTTCTCCTCTGACCACACAAACAATCTGCTTATTGAAATCATTTATTTATTATTGATTTCATACAGCGGACAAAGTAAGATAGCTGCCTGTGTTGTGTAAGCAATAGCCTTTTACAATAAAACATAAACATAAATAACATCAATACATATAGCATAAGAATGTTCCACCTTGCCGTAGTGAAGCCTGATATTGATGAATCACGCACAGTGGCTTTGCTAACATCCTCAGCATGGCAAATCAGCTCATGGTTTTTGTTTTTCAAAGCATTTAGACTAACTTTTTATAGCAGGCAATAGATATTGGCAAACGCATTTAGTGGCATGGGGATTTATGGTATTTCTTTTTCTTTTTTGTTTTATGGCAACAATATTGCATATAACTGTGCTTTTTGACCCTGCAAAAAACTTTCTTAACTCAACATACATATATTTAAGAAGCAAAATGACATAAGTTATCAAGTCTTGTTTCAGAAAAATTTATCAAAATGAAGCAAGTTTATGCTTAAAACAAGAAAAAATATGTCAATAAACTTGTTTTCCTTTTGAATTACATTTATTTTTCTTATCCCTTCGGCAGATTTTTTTTCCCTCAAATTAATCAGAAATTATTTTTTAGACAACAAGACTTAATATATTATGTTATTTTGCTTGTGTCTTGATTGAAGAAGGTTTATATATTTGTACTGGAAAATAAGGAAATCATTAAAAGCAGTGTTAAAGTTGAAACATTTTTATATGTTGAAATACTTTCTCCTGTCCCGGTTTAACATTCATAGACAACTTTAGTAAGTTGATTTCTTCAAAAAGAGTGAACACTGTGGCTCTGTGGTGCTTATGAAATCCAGCACACAAGTTTGGGGCTAGACTATCTGACCAATCGAAGGCGGAAATGTTTAATGTTTAATGATGGTGACAGTGCAAATGTAGACAGTAAATAAGCAGTAAATGACATTGTAAACTCTGACTGGGCCACTGTGTGTTTACTGCATGTCTCTGTGAGGTAGCCTAATCATCAAAGCACTAAACAATCATCACAATTAACAAGCCAGCATGCTAATCTGTAATATAGCTAACAGAAATCAGCAAGGAAGATTACGTGGAAAAGCACTTTGAACTGCTACAAATGTTCAAAGCTGATGTACAGTAGCTGTATGGAACTAGAGAATTTCTGTTTATATGTGTATCTTTCTGAACATCTCTTGCTGTCTCTGTGTGGAGGGGTAATGACTCTCCCAGTCGTCTTCTCCTTATGTTTAAGGGGCTTTAATGGCCTTCTCCCCTGAAACAGAAGGAGAAGAGGAGCTGAGTTAACACCTCCACCTACAAATAAGCAGTGAGAGAATAGCAGTGCCTCTGATATATTCAAATATATAATCTTGGGTGACAAAACACTTTGTCCTACAAAACTGTCTGCATTCATTATATTTATGCGTGTGAAGACGTGCTAAAAAAAAAAAAAAGTACCGTTTTGAACGACATCAGAGCTGTCCTGCAAATAAACACAGAGGAAATAGGTAAATGGAAGTCTAGCAGTGAAGTCTTTCTTTCTTTTTACATACATTACATTACTTTAAAGGGGACGGTGTGCTTACAGCTTACCTCTTTTGGTTTCAGTACTGGTTGTGGTATGATGCGTCCGAACCCCTGTACAATCCAGCCAACCATACTTGAAAATAAAAGAAATATAGTGCATGTTATTAGACTTAATTATATGTAAAAACATTTTACATTTATCCAAACAATAAAATGTTTCAAATATGTTATGTACACAAGAAAACAAAAACACAAAACAAAAACAAACAAAATGAAACAAAACAAAATGAAAAAAAAAACAAACAAAAAAACAAAAACAAATGAAATGAAATGAAAAACAAACAAAAAATGAACACAAAGACACAAACACACACACACACACACACACACACACACACACACACACACACACACACACACACACACACACACACACACACACAAACAAAAATTAAAGCAAAAACCGAACAAAACACCCAAAACTAAAAACACAAAACAAACACAAAAAACACAAAAACCAAACAAACAACAATGAAAACAAAAACAAGCATGAAAACACAAAACAAACACAAAGCAAATAAACCAAACAAAACAAATATAACCCCCCCCCAAAAAAACAGGCAAAAACAAAACAAACGCAAAACTAAAACCAAAAACAATACAACTGCAGAACAAAAACTAAACACACAAAACCCAAAACAAACAAAAAACAAAACAAAAATGAAAACACAAAACAAACAAAAATACAAAAAACACACACACAAAATAAAACAAACAAAAACTGAAAAAGCAAAACAAACAAAATGAAACAAACAGAAAACAAAAGCTCAAAACAAAACAACAAAGCACAAAAAAACAGAACAAAAACACACAAAATAAAACAAAACCCAAAACAAAAGCTCAAATCTAAACAAACAACAACAATGAACAATACAAATGCAAATCAAAACACACAAAACCCAAAACACAAAAAGAAAGAAACAAATAAACAAACTAAACAAATTAAACAATGTATATTTAACCAAGGTGTCAAAGTTTGGTTGGTTAACATTATACAGACATTATAAGGGAAGCAGATAAACACTTACTTTGTGCCTTTGGAATCCTCAGCTACTTTAGGTTGCTCAGGAGCTGCAGGTGCAGATGAAGGTGCAGGTGGGGCTGCAGGTGCAGGTGGAGGTGCTGGTGCTGGTGCAGGTGCAGGTGCAGGCGCTGGTGGAGGTGCAGGAGCAGGTGTTGGTGCAGGTGCAGGTGCAGGTGTAAATAGAAAAAAAAAGTCACATGCAGACCACTCTATCGCCAAGGAAGCCCAACCGTGCATTCTTGATTTTAAAAAATGTTACCTGGCTCTTGTTTGCAGGGAGTCACAGGAGCAGAAGCAGCCTTCTGGGCGGGTGCCTCTGTAGCAGCGGGAGGATGAAGATGGACAGGAGAATGTGGAACTACCTTCTCAAAACCATGCTTAATCCATTCTATTACTCTGAAAGAGAAAGATAGATTAAAAGATTTCAACCAGAATGAGAGTTCAGATTAGCTTCTGGCAGCTGATTAACATATACCTGGGAGAGAAGGGCACATTAGAAGCATCTGGGTCCTCATCAGACACAACCTCCACCACAGGAATATGAGGCAGCGGCTCAGCATCTGGTGAGAGTGAGAATCCTGTCACATGTGTTGTGTCCTCTCTCATCAGCTCTTTGCAATGCAAATTCTTTAAGCCAAAGTTTATACTGTTCTATATGGCTATCAAGAGGCTGGACTCACCACGAACGCCTTTGACCTCTTGCACCTGTAAAGAGACGAGAAACACAAATAACTCTTACTGTACGTAGCCCTGATTTAATATTGGTGTGAAAATTAAAGGGCCAGGTGCTCTTGATTGGCTTGCATTTCAGTTTTTATCTGTCTATATTATTTCAAGTGTCATTCATTTATAAAAAATGCTTGCGAGAAGGTTTTTAAATATATATCGGTGTTTCTTCAACCTCAGGCGCATTTGGCTTTGTAAACTTACAAACTGTAGAAAATAAATGGTCACACTTTATTTTAAGGTCCAATTCTGGCTATTAACAAACCATTAACTATGACTTTTGGCTCAATAAACTCCTAATTTGCTGCTTATTAATAATTAAGTTAAGTTTAGGTATTGGGTAGGATTAGGGATATGATCATGCAGAATATGTGCTTTATAAGTACTAATAAACAGCCAATATGTTAATAATAGGCATGCTAATAAGCAACTAGTTAATAGTGAGAATTGGTCCCTACTAAAGTGTTACATTTATTTATTTTATCTCACATATTTATATTTAACACATCATGTGTCTATTTTATCTTACAATGGTTAGACATACTTTGTGTAAAATTTGTAACCAATATTATTGAACATTTTTCACACACTAAGTATTGAAATAGTTATGATTATTTCACTCATTATTTCACATGGTTTTTAATTTTAAGTTATTTATTTATAACATTTTAAAATTCAAAGTCGGGCTGTGATAAGTAAAACAAAATATACATGAAAAGCATTTGAAAAAAATAGCAAGTTTTATGTGATCTTCATTGAACAAAGCGTTAGTTTTGATAAAGGTTAAGGTTGAAGAAACACCACATTTGTAAGCAAGCATGCCCGTTTTAAGCTGCTAGCCATGCAAGCATCTGATGTTTTTAATGGAGCAGGGTTTTACCATAGTTATAGCAGGACGGTTATAGAATATAGCAGGAAACTTGAAAATATTTGAAAGGCAATGAAGCTCAAATTAGGAGTATTTCTTGATAAGAGGGATTCGTTTTGAAGACTCAACCTATTACTGCCCAAAACAGTCCTGAAAAGCTCAGTCCTGCAGCAATCAGCGTGTGTTTACAAACCGTAATCTGTTGTAATACTACACTCTAAAAAATGCTGGGTTAAATACAACCCAGTGCTGGGTTAAATAGGGACAAACCCAGCAATTGGGCTATTTTGACCCAGCGGTTGGGTTAAATGTTTAACCCAGCCTTCTGGGTAGTAACCCAAACGCTGGGTCAAAACAACCCAATTGCTGGGTTTGTCCCTATTTAACTCAGCATTTTTTTGAGTGTATATACTGTGATGATAACATAGATGTAAGGAATGAAGCAGAAATAATTCATATTCAGCATTTTGGACTAGTTGGTATAAATGGTCCTTGCTTACATGTATTCAAATCAGCTGATTACTGTGAGCAGACAGAAACGCGGGCGAGGATCAAAGGAAGGTTAGTTGGTGCCCTAGCAGCTCTCATTTTGACGGGACCCACTCTTGTGGTGGAGTTTGTAGACCAAATAACTGGAATGAATATCTCTGTATATCACCTCATACTTAAAGGGGGCATATGATTAAAGGGGTGCAGTCTTAATGTGAAAAGTACGTAGACATAAAAATTCACAGACCATTTAACATAACTGAAAAAATGGATCATTTAGATGAACCACTGTTAACATTGGACCACCCAGATTTAAATATCAGCACATATTCAGCAACTTGTCCTGCCCTAATGATGTGCTGATGAAAAGTGTAGTATATGGCCCCTTTAAAGTTAACTTGTGGGACAGAGGAGGGAACAGCGAGCATTATTCTGACATACTGTAGCTTGCTCCAAAAACACTGTACTTACTGGAGGATCCACTTTAACCACTGGAACTGCAAGCTAAATAGAAATGCAATGAAACTCTGACAGAAGCTCCTAGAAAACCTAAAGACACCTTTGAGACTGGTGTCTGTGGCCCTGAAGTGCTCCATTAACTCTAAAATCTCTAACTCAAAAAATTAACTCCATTAACATTAAAATGTAATCTAAAGTAAGTAAATAAATAAATAAACTAATAAATAAGATATTTTAAAAATCTTCGTAGAGTCGTTGTTCCTAAAATGTCATCTAATAACAATTTTTTTTTGTTTGTTTTTGTTTTGTTTACCTTCTATATACCTATATATATATATTAAAATGCTTAGTAGCCAAAGAGATAAAATATTAATTGTAATTTAATTTTATTTGAAATGACTGGAATATTAAACACATGAATTATCATTCTTCTTAATCACAAATGTCCATGAACAGCATACAAATGTAGTCATTAATATGCATTACAAATTATAACATGCTTAACTAATAAGCTTATGTAGTAAACTGCAGCAAATCCAGTAAACTTGTAGGAGGAAATATTATAAATATTGACTTGGTAAATAACCAGATAAATAATCAGAATGCAGAAAGCCGCAGTGTCTTATGGGATTAGTGAATGTGTGCGGTGTGTGTCTATACCTCAGTGACCTCCTCTGGCTCTGTGTGACCCTTGTATTTCTCATCTGGCTGTGGAACCACTTTTCCCAGTCCCTGCACAATCCAGCCTATCATTCCAGCCCTGATGAAAGAAGAGATACAGTAAAATCCATCAGCTGCTCTGGGCATGAGTGAGAATGTGAATTCATGTAAATAAGCTGCATTGCTATAAGTCAACTCTAGATGGCAGCAAGGGAATGTAAAAACAAACAGGTTTGCCCAGCGGGTGCCAGTGAAGCAGGAACCAATGCTAATAATAAAAAAAGGTTAAATTTCAGTAGTGCTCTTGTAGATGAATATGTATGTATATATAGGCCCTATATATATATATATATAAAACATTTTATATTCTAGGGAAGCTAGTCTGCATATTATAATGCTTATGTCTGTTCAGCATGAGGGTCTTTTGCCTTGAGCTGTTAATATGGAAATACAGCTCAGTGGAATAAAGACTTTTGCGTGTGTAGCATGCTAAGACTCTCCATGCTGGTCTGCAACAAAGCTTTGGATGTTTGTGCGTGACCTAATATAAGCTACTCACTGGTCCGATGTGTTACTGCGGTCCATGATACAGTGATGGAAAAATATATGATACTTATCAAAACATTCATTTAACAGGCACACACACACAGATACAGATGTGAAATACACAAGTAAGTGGCAAACAACATAACCATACAAAATAAAACTGAATCCATATGATTGAAAATATACCTGCTGCTCACTGCATTCTCCTCATGCTGTTCAATCCATGGTAAACAAACAAACAAACATTTTTTTTAAATTGCTTGAAATTAGTTCACAAATAATAAAAAAATGGGTTCCATTTAAAAATGGTACTAAATTAAAATTCAAAGTAGCAATTTGAAAAAAAAAAAGGGTACATTCTTTTCTTGGCTTCAAAAATATACTGATTAAATCAAGTAATGAAAGAGAATTTCTCATCACAGCAACTTTAAAATGGTTTACAATACTTACACAAACCTGCTTTTCTCTCTTTTTAAATGTTGTTTCGGGACACAACACACCAGATGTTAAACTGAAACATCTGTCTTGAAACTTGCCACTTTTTAAACAAATTATTTTTGACACTTTGACTGTGTTCACACTTGAGTTAAGTTCATTTATCTTCAGCCGTGCTTTGCATTGCTTTATCTCAAAGTTATGATGTCTGAAGAAGGTGTCTCTTCATAATGACAAATGACTGCATTTGTGTCATGGTACACACCAAAACAAGTTCTATCCTCATTAAAGCAACAACAACAGCCAAAAACTGAAGTCACAATAACCTGTAAAATATGTACTTTGCACACACTGGTGATCTAAAAAAATTGTAAGGACTAAAAGTATTTTTGCCTTGCAAATATAATTGAGTAAGATTGCAAGTATTATGTTTCAATAGTAATTAAGTACAGCACATTATCTAAAAAAATTTGACTCAATTTAGGCAATGAAGTACAATTACCCATCTCCATTTGCCTGTTGGATACTGTCACCTTAACTGAGGTTGTTCATTCATTTTAAAACCATCATTGTTTTTGTGTCAACAAAAACATAGCTCAGATTAATGTATAAAAACTAAGAAATAACACAATAACTATATAAACAATTGTAAATAATAAGTAAAGATTACAGTAAGAATGAAAGATGGTCAGACTACTTACTTTTTAATTAAACTGAAAAATGCATATTTTTAATAAGTATTTCTTTATGCATTACAATCTCAAAAATTAGGCATGTTTTATTTTTTTGAATTTGCTTTAGCTCACAAAAATGATTATTTAGATTTTCAACTTTATTCTGTGAATGTACACGACAGGAGTCATGAAAATACCTTAACTTCACTGTTGGCCAGTTTAGAGGAGTTTACTGGCTGAGGGAGAGCATTGCTGAACCCATGAGAGAGCCAACTCAAAACCCTACTCTGAGAGCTGGAGTGAGACAGAGACAGAGACACAGAGAGAGAGAGACAGAGAGAGCGAGACAGAGAGAGAGAGAGAGAGAGCGAGCGCGAGACAGAGAGGGAGAGAGAGAGAGAGAGAGAGAGAGAGAGAGGATAGGAGGGATAGAGAGAAAGGAGGGATAGAGAGCAGTAATTAGGTCTGGCAGGATTACAGCATCTAGAAACACTGATCGTGCACACACACACACACACACACACACACACACACACACACACACACAC